ATTAATTCCTCGACTCTTTTTGATGTCCCTTAGCAGTTCTAATTTCTGTAAGCAGAAACAAGAAGGTGTGCCTGAAGCCTGGGAAGGCTTTGGGAAATTTTGTCCATAAGAGGTTATTATTTCCACATCTCTTAAAAAGACAAGTTCTTTAGAACAAGTAATTAATATTTTTTGTTAACGTATGCTCCACAAAAGAAGATAGTATCAGCTTGAACCTGTATCTCAGAGGAAATCTGAAATGGAAGCGAGTGAGGAGACTGTCAGCCATAAGTGATATTTTTAGACAATGTTTGGTGCACTTAACAATAAGATGAAGGAAGAAACAGAAGAGTGTGTGGTCAAGATGCCGGAGTATAGACAAGGAGAACGCAAGGATCGACATTAACATTTGAAGCTGAAAAAAGAAAGAGTCTAACAAAAACTGTTTCAATCAATCTGCAGGTATTCTGAGTAAAATGAAGTTCAAATAGAGTTGATGTTTTTTGCTGAAATTAATATTTGGAAAAGTGATATATTGGTGATGCAGCTGAAAGGCAATAGACATGAATAAGATCTAAATGGGAAAGACCAACCTGAAAAAAAGTTAGCCCATAAAAGACTTCACTCTGCTGCAAGACCTATTACTGCCTGTAAAAATAAAGAGTGTAATTGTTAGAAGCAAAGCCAGATCAACAGAGTGGCTAAGAATCGGATGAAATACGCCATGCAATAGAAAAGAAAGTCAAAATTAATAGTATCAAGAAATTGCATTCAAGTAAAGAAAGATGAAGGCACAGAGAGCAAAAGGAAGAGGCAACAGAAAAATATAACTAAACTAAACTTAAGAACAATCATTGTTATTCTAAAAGGGAAAAACTGTGAAGAAAGTTATTGAAGATGTAATAATCAAAGGCATTAACACAAAAAAGTGAGGCCACTGGCTACTTATCTAATGAAATCTTTGAGCAGTGTAACGTTTACTGAGTACTATTAAAAAAGTGTTAAAAAGCAATTAATTTGACAATTTCCTATATAAATGATATGGATCTATTTTTTTTCCAGGAAAGCTATACAGATTTTTGTGATATCAATTCATTCTACATTCTCTTATGGTCACTGCATTTAAACTCTTTTTTTTCCACTGTGATCTTCAGTTCAAGTTAAAATGTCTGATTCCATTTATTTGAGCTCAAAATCAGTCACATCTATCTGAAAGCACCTAGACAGTTAATTTCATCAACTCTGCCTCTAGCTTTCTCCTGTTAAATGGAGAAGAGCTAAAATGGAGAGAAGCTTTCTGATTATAAAGCTGCCTTTTAAAAGTATCCACGTAAGGTTTATTACTTTATTCTGTATGCAGATTGTGATGTCATCTAAAAACCTAATAAACCCAAATTTCATTACATCTTTCCATCACTCAAACTCCTCACAAAGAGATGTGTCTATGGTCTGAACTATGGCTCTGCAAGGATCTTCATAAGAAGACGAGGTGAGAGAGGGGTGAAAAATGACCTTTGCCTGCCACTTTGCTCCCAGCCCTGAAATTTCCTATCCACATCGATAGCAGAAACGCAGTCCTTTAGAGGCTTTTCAAATGTTAGAGTGATTCCTCTGCCGCGCATTTGAACAGCTTGTGCTGATTTGGGGTTTTTGCTTTTCAGCTAGCTCCTGCCCCGTTGAGGACTGGTGTGATGGCAGCCTGCCCACCCTCAGTTTGGTGCCATGTGAGAAATGCGGCCACGTGCTGGTGGGCACACCACTACTGGGACACTCACAGCCATGCCAGAGGGTTGTCAAAACACTGCTGGTTTAAATGCACTTCAACCATGGATGTCTGTTTTAAACAGGCAGGAATGAAAGAGGACGGCCAGGCAAACGTCGAAGTCATATGTGCCAGCACTGGGCTGGAGATGCGGCCTCTGGAAAGAACTAGAATATCAGCTAATTTAGACCTATGGCAGTTTTCCCTTTCTTTTGGTCAGTTCATCCATTGCTCTGCCTTACTTCAAAAGCTCTTTGTCACTGCTCACTTACTGGGTTGGCAAAAACCATCATGCAAACTAGCAATAAAAATGGTAATTTACACAAACTTCTCCAATTTACTGTAGAGTTTTATTTGTTGTGTTTGGGATGATGGAATATTATATGTCAGGATATGACCTCCAATGTGATTTATGATGTCTGGAAAACAGATTTCTTTTTAAAAATACAACCAAAACCAACCTGATTTCACCTGCATTGTCAGATGTATAACTGATACTTTTGTTTGAATTTATCTCCTTTTGGGTAACACAACTGAAAAATTGTCATAATGAAAGCTTATTTTAGCAATAAAGTGGATGATTTGACAGAAGTATTAAATACAGTGAAGGAAATGAGTAATTTTACTACCCAGAACTCTTATGTTAGAGTAGCATGAAACCAGCAGCACAACAAGAATGCTAATAGGATTCTAGAAAACTAATCAGATCTTTGATATTTATAAAATCACCTTCGTGATAATGGGAATGTGTATGTGGAAGAACTTATTCATCTGCAGTTCAAATACTATTCAGAAGAAGAATGGACATCTGGGATGGCAGAAAACTAGAGCAATAAAATAGTTGACATAGAAAGTACTGGCATATTACCAGAATTAGCAGTAACAGTTAACAGCAATGAAGATGTTTACAGTAAGGAGAGCAGATGCATTTGTGTAACAGAGCTAGATGTATCATTTGCTGACAGCTAATTTGAAAGAGGCATAAAAGTAACTCCTCCAGCATACAGAACTTGCCTTGTTGTCTGTGTATGGACGGTGGCTTACAAAGTCACGTAGCTGTGCACCAAGCACATCAGGTCCTCCAAACCCTTGGGGTGGTCCCTGGCCTTGTCGGGGTGCTGCTTGCCCACACGCTCTCTGTACAGGGTCTTATCTTGAGGACAACAATAAGATGGATCTCAAGACAGGGTCACAACTGTCCCTTCACATCTGACACAACCCCACTGCCCAGCAGGGGAATTTTCCAGGGTCCTTTCGCTTTCTCTTGTGAGGGGAGTCATGTAAGCACGGAGGGAAGAGTGCACAAGGCCTCTCTGTGAGTCAGGACATTTCCTTCATGCGCGATAAAAAAGATGTATGGATTGAAAAGATTAAGCATGAGAGGGGAAGTCTGCCCTGAGGCAGAAAGCTAAATTTACCCTCACTAAAACCCAGAGGGCAGCCACTGTATAGTGCAATGCAAGTGTCAATCCTTCAGCCTATCTGAAAGAGAGGAAAAGGACAGCCAATGCTTAATTGGCGTGACTAGTGCAAAATGTCTTGGCTGCATATTTCTATTAAATTATCTTTGGTGTAAGGTTGAAGAGCGAACACTCCTGTTGCTAGCTTAACAGCTAAAAATAGCTTTTTATGTTTGTTATTTCATTGTTTGGTGGGGTTTTTTTTCCAAACCACAGATCAGAGAGGACTGTATCGCCCAAGTTTCTGTTTCTGTTGTGCATGGAGAAAAGGAGGATGCTGAATTCAGAAGACCTCCACAGTATTAGCGCTCATTCGTAGCATCGCAAGGGGGCACCGCAATTCTAGTAAGTGACTAAATGGCTCTGCTTCTCATCAGGCAATGCCAGACAGCTCATCTTAGCCAAACTACTGGATTAGACATCCAATTTTTGAGAAAAATCAATCTGAGAGCTCAAATCCCATAATCACTTCTGAGTACAGATTACAGAATGTTGAAAATGTCATAATATTAAATCCTAGTTCCATCAAATAATGCAATTGCCCATCCTGGATCCCATCTTCAGTTCTACCACACAACTGGTTGCTGCTCAGAAGCTAACCATTTCACTGGCATATTTGTTGTTTTTTGCAAAACTATTCTCATCAAAGATTCCTGTAGAGTACCCAGGCTTCCTGAAAACCACCCAGTCTGAAGCCACATGCATATATAAGGGGCTATGTGAAAGGTAAAGCATCTTGCGCACGGTCCCCTCTAGCTCAGGACTAGGCGCTCGATGGTTGTTTAACTTGCAGCACATTTCTCCTGATTGCTTTGTCTGAGTGTTGAGACTGTATTCTTTCTTCTGTCGCACCTTGCTTCTGTCGAACTAAAGATGTTACAGGAGGAGTTGGGTTTTTTGTTATTTTTCAGAAATAGTTCATCTCAAGGCTGTAGCTATGACCACAGTACAAAAAAAGAAAAAGTATGCTTTTGATTTCTCAAGTCAAAGATACTTTCAGACTGAGTCTTGCATGCGTATTTGTATAACAGTCCTCTAAAATACTAAACTTTAATTACAGAAGAAGGAAAATCAGATAACCTGTTCTTGCATGAGTTGGAAATCACCAGTGCCAGTGAATTAATTGATTTACTCAAGCCAATATCAAACGCTTTTTGTAGCTTCTCTTGCTCTAAAAAACCAAATCCCTACCAGTAAAAAATTGTCCCAACACTACTATAGAATGCATATGCACCTACATCACAAGCATGTGGAGCCTTATAAGAAATGCCTTCAGAACTGAATAGTTGTTTTGCAGAACCTTTGTAAGAAAACCAGAGGTTTATAAATACAATGAATATCAAAGATAATTTCTTTCTTGTTACTCTGCTTACCAAACTTTTATCGCTTACCAAATTTTTTTAACACTATGTTCCTGTCAGCCTGATTGCCACCTACCATATTTTATGAACACCTGTCAATGTGATTTTGCCAGTTTTTCCTGACTTTTGCCTGCTCTAGCACACTCTGATGCTATGCATCTGCTGAGCAACTTCCGTCAGTAGGGTGTGCTCTTCAGAATTTACTGACAATTTCTTCCATTTTCAACTCACGTATCCTTTCAAAAAAAAATCTCCTAATAATCACAGTTCCAAACATGTTTTTAGGCCAATCCCTGCAGATATTTACTCATGTGAATAAACCATATGCTGACAGAATAACTCCAGTCATTACTAACACAGGTATTATATGCAGAGAAGAAATCTGGACTGTTACATCCTTATGGAAGGTACCAAGTGAGGTGCATACAGGTAACTCACCTGTCAAATAGTTCTCCACCTGTGACCAGTTCCAGAACAAGACTGATTTCTGTAGGGGTCTCAAATATCTCCTTCAGTTTTATCTAGTAAAAGATAACAAAAAAGATTAATTTTGCTTATTTGCCTTCTTGCTGAGCATATCGCAAGGCCAACAGCAGGAAACAGACCACAATCAATAAAGCAGAGGACGGTACCAACTGAGGTTGGTGCATCATTTACCATGCAGTTGTGCAAGTTATTGTGCATGTTGTCTCCTAGCTCCCTTTTTTTTGCTAGCTTTATCTCCTTTGCATTCCCTTTTTTTGTTGTTATTTTCATACTCCTCATACCTCAGCAACCTCTGTGTAACACAGGACCATTAAGAAACTGCTTTAGTTAGTGCTTGTCAACACCTGCCTGCTAATATTTCAGAGTAACTGAATGTAAGACTTTTCCCACCTTCCAAGGACCGACAGCACCAAATTCCCCTTTCATTTAGAGAAATTCTTTTGCATAGTTTCTCACTCAGATTTTTCAGAACATCACTGATTTATTTTAAAGTGTAAGTACAACTGAACAGTTTTCCACAAGAGCTGCTAACATGCTCATGAGGAGAAGCCAAAGCTTTAATCCAGGACTCTCCCATGTCTGTATAGGTGAACCACAACAGTAATCTCTCAGGAACAGAAACAATTTAAAAAAAACCCAACCAAACAAAGAAACAAACATGGAGTGAAAGAACAAGGCTAAACTTACAATGTTGGGATGCGAAAGGCGAAGAAGAACTCCAATTTCTGTGCGGACAATTTTCTTGTCTACCTGGTTAAAGGTGGGGAGGGGAAAAGTGAAATAGTTATTTCTATCCACCATAGAAACTTCTAGCTGCATCACAGGAAAATATGTATGAACAGCATTTCTACATCTCCTGGAAGAGTAAGTGGACGCGAGACACACAAGTCAAACATACTGTAAAGCGTAATTTTCCTTTAACACAAGACAGATACTGCAACAGAAAAACATCTGCATCTAGCAAAATGATTACAAATGTACAAAGTCACGAAAGAAGTAGAATATAGGAAAGACATCTGAAAAAGCTGCTAAAATTCCTTTATTTACTCAGGTTCTGCCCTTGTCTACCGCTTCTTATGTTGGTTCAGTTTATGCCAGGACAGCTTCCTTTTGACACAGCGTTCAGCAGCTGTACTGGAAAAAGGTTTCTGCACATGGGATGTGCGCATCAAAGCAGTGTGACTTAATGCTTAGAACAAAAACATGATGCAAAGGTCAAACGACCCCAGCCACAGACAGAGTGTAGGGTTTAACTTCAACTTGCTTCAGATATACCTAACAAAATGCTCTTTTAATGCAAAAGACTATCCGTTTGGTTAAACCTCTGAGGGGATTAGCCCTTCCCTTTCCTTCCCTTCTCAAATTGGAGTCTTTTAACAATCCAGGCACAACCTATGTCCTGTTGGGGGACATGGGTCATTTCTCACAAGAAATGCAGATCTGGGGAGTATTTCACTCCGGAAAGACAACTGCAGCTTTCCCGGAACTTGAATCCTTAAGCAAGCAAGAAAGGAAAATGCTCGTAAGCAAATTATGCATGCTTTTATGTTGCTAAGGTAATTAATTCCTTTATGAAGAAACTATCTGGTTTGCACATATTCTCACAAACCCTAGAGAAATCCTACACTGATGACAATTGTAAACATGTTTATACTACAGCACTCTTCGTCTCAGGGGTTATGAAATGAATGAGAGTCAGCAAGTTAAGTCACCACCTCCTTCCAAACTGTTGACACATTTGGGGATGGGGGATAGGTGGGAGTTTTTTTAATGAAGGCTTTTCATCAACACATGTTTTGGTTTTGGTTTTTTTACATCCTATGGGAGATGAACAGTCATAACACATAAACCTTTAAAAGGGACATAAAACTACCTTTGAACTCTTAGTGAGGAAGACACATGCTTAAAAAACAATCCCTTTTTTATCACCTGAAAGAAGAGATGTACTTCTCAGTATTTTATTTTTTCCAGCAACAACAAAATCCAAGTATCAGTCACATTCAGAACTACAGGATAGGCAGAATCTGATTCTCCCCTTGTGGCAATCGGGAATGATTCTAGGTTAGCAATGCCACAGTGCTCTGACAGTGGTGTAAATGAGTGGAGAACTACAGCCCTTAGGGATTTCTTGAAACTCATTGACATTTAACCTCTTTTACTGGCTCTGCCAGAAAGCAAAATGAAAGAGAGAAAAAAACAACTTTGGACAGATTCAGTGCATGTGAGAAGCAGCAGAAAGCAAAAATCAAAGAGGAATGAAATATTCCATTACCCGAACATCTAATTGGAGGTAATGAACATGGTCAATAACTGCATCTTCACAGGTGAATGTCAGGGATCAAACACAGAACCCTTTAAGCTCTGCGACCATCGTAGGCTTTATAAACTTTACTGATTTCTACTCGAAATGCAAGTCTTTCTTTGCTCTTGCCTCCTACATAAATGCTGAGCAGCAGGTTTGAAGAATGGTCTCCTGTGCAGTTTTCCTAAAATGCTGTGAGCATCAGCCTGTGGTCTCACTCGGTTTCAACATCCCCTTGGCATCAGTGCCATTGTTCAACTCTGCGTTACTTTTGTGAGTGCAAACGCACAGCCAGGGGCTCCAAAGCTCACTTCTGGGTAGCAAGAGGCTCTTGATGATTCGAGAGAAATACACATCTGGGCTGTTCTCATATACTTTGCACCTCAGATAGGATCAGAAAAATTAATGTACAGTATTGCATGGACAGTCATTTCCCCGGGAGAGCTGTTTAGACGGAGCAATTTACCTTATCCAAAAGCATCACTACAAACTGAACAACATACAGTTTGTTTTCTGCAGTTTCGAAAATGTTTGCACACCATGCATGCCCGGCAACAAGCATGGAAGAGGCTGTGCAAACTCTAAAGATGCTACTTTTTGGCACTCAGTAGCTACAACTGAGAAACTATAGAGGCCTCCTCTCACCTTGCACGTGGCAAGTGAAAAAGTGAACTGAGACTCAGTTCCAGGTCCTTCCCAGACGTTTACTCTGCAAACATAGGTGAGTCCCTCTGTGATCCAGTTCCTGACCTGACACAAAACAGTAGACTTTCATAATACTTCCTCAGGTGGTGGTATGAGGAAAAGATACCTAAAAATTCAAGATGCTAAGGTGCAATGGCAAGTACACCACAGAGAAACCCTTAGGAATGGTACGTGTTTATAAGCATCCTGGAAAATGGCTATTGGGATAGATTTTACAACAGAAGCGTGCATCTGTAAGTGACATGAATCGTTCCAGAGTAAAACCAGCAGCAAATGTAGTCATGCCGCTTTATTACAGACAGCCTGTTTTATCCCCTACACTAAGGATTGAGCTGTATCAACACTTACCTTGTTCCAGCTCCTTCCAACAAAATGTACCGACTTATACCAGGGCCAAACTTGGCCTATTTTTAGTTTGGGCAGGAGTACCAGCAATTCAACTACTTATATTCCTGACAGAAATTATGTGATAGGAAAACAGTCAGCCATTTCACTCTGTAGTGTATGTTGCTAGAATAACAAATTTTAAAACTCAGATAATTTAACCAAAATATCTTATTACCAAAAATGTTTGAGAAAATTAAGTATGTTTGGCTAGATCAGAGTGTTCTGATTTGTGTAGATGTAATAACTGACCAAAATGAGGCTGCAGAACTGTTATTTTTGTCTCCTCCTCTTTGGATGCAATTTATATGTGCAGTACAATACGTAACAATTTATCTGAGCTTTCCATAAATTAACATTACTCACAGGAGCGTCAGTGAGACCTTTGTGAGTATATCAGAGTCAAGAATAATAAGGTCAGCAGAACCGGTCTGTTTGTGAAGAGAAAAAACAATCAAATGTTAACTTTCAGATCTTTCCCCGTTCCATTATTTTAACGATTATCCTTCTACAAGCTTCCTTTATTTCTTACTTTTAATCTATGCTAAATGGACTAGAATAAGCTTTTGGTCAAATATTTCATTAGTATAATTTGATTTCTTCTTAAAAGATTACTTTTCTCTCTGTGGAAAACTTACACTAATTCCATTCCAGGTTGTGTGAATGGCTGGTTGGGTGATTTTAGCACCGGTGCAATTTTACTGAGCTGCATTTTCTGTTTGCAAACTTTAAATGGCAGGCAATCAAGAGGCATTTGCTGTAACAGGCCTATGAAGCAGCATTCTGCTGTGGTACATCTGTGTCAATTTGAGAAGTCATTTGCCAGGTAATCCTGAAGCGGTTATTTATCAGTTCTTCACCACTGACCCTAGGCATGAAGATTTCACTGCCCATAGACCAAAAAAATCAAACAAAGTTGCTAGATGGCCTGTAATTGTTAAACCCCACATCTATATGCTTCCACAGCTTACCTGTGGAGACATCCACACGAAGCACTAGAATGCACCAAATCTGCCCGTAGGTGCGGTACAGTGCTGCCTGGTGCTGTGGCTTGCAGTGCTCCACAGTACACTTCAGTGAGCAAACCAGGAGCTGTGACTGTAGCACGTGTAAGCACCTGCATGCTGGCTTTAATCTAACTAGAGATGTAGCAGCATGACTTTCTGGTGTCACCAGAGATCATTAGTCAAATAGTAGTATGCTGTGTGCACTCAAAGCTGCTATCACACGTCCTGTTTACAGACAGACAGACATCACATTGAGAACATTAACAGAGTATTTCATACAGTCAAGGCCCAGGAAGTTAGGACAGCATTTGCTAGTGTGGGTGAATGAAATTATCCACCTCCTTAATTTATATTAAAGCATTTACATAAAAAAGGTAATTATTCCTGGATTATTCCTAGTATTTTATCTCTCCAGTTATTTCACTTCCCTAGAATTAGGCATGTATCTGTTTTACAGATATGCGTCTTACAAACACTTTGTGTGTCTTTCAAATTTGGTACTGGTTATGCAGTGAAGTAGTGCTAGGTCTGTAACCAGTCTATTTCTGATTTATAAATTTCAGACTATTTTGACATGGGAAAGGGCTGGGAAAGTCCTTAATGAAAGCTGATATTCTTCCACTTTTCCATGCCCTGAGATGGTAAGGTGGAGTAATGCTACAAACACCCAAGATGCAAAAGTGTTGCTTCTCTCTGAATTAAATGAAACAAGATGAAATGAACGGTCACTGTAAATAGATTAATCCAGCTGCTGCCTTGCAATATGGTATGCCATCCTGAAAACAGGTGGCCAACAGATGTACAGACCCCTACAATTTAGTAGAGAGCAAGAAGCAGAGCACATTCCTCATTCTACAAGTCCAGCCTCTCCCCAGTGAGCTGTGGACATGGAGGGGCACATCTGGCCAGGTGTGACCACCATGCAGGTTGGGTGACAATGCTGTGCCCAGGCAAGTGGTGTGAAGCAACCAACACCAACAGCTCTGGAGGAGATTCACAGCACTGCCCACCTCAGGGAGGCTGCTCACCCCAGTGCCGCACAGCTCCTTATTTAATATCCCACTTACTGACTCAGATGAACACCTCTAATTTGAGCAATGAATGCTTTATCGAACCAGCAGGTCAGGCTCTGAGCATGTATTTCCCTGCACTCGCAGGGAGCATGCTGCAAATCACTGGCTTGCCACCACACTCTATTAAAATTGCTTCCAAGAAACAATTTTTGTATTTGTCTCAGGTAAAGTAGCTGCTCAGCAGCCTAACCCTTTCTGTATTTTATGGAGTCAATTCCTAATTACCATTTATAACTTTGTCATTATTTTGTCTTCTCACAGTTAAGCTGAAATATTAAA